GTCAGAGCAGAATTGTAAGGATCGGTATTCTGCTCTAAGGAATCACAACAAAATGGCAAAGCTATTGTTGATCGGACCTGCGTGTCTCAGTAGTAACCCATCAGTGTAAATGTCACACCTAGAGATGTGTGCCCTCTCTCCATAACTGCAATAGGTCCAACCCCACCTGAAGTCTGATTCTTTCTATGGCTGATTCCCTGAATTATTTTTCTCAGAATTAGGTCCCTGTCCCTGGAACATCTCGGCACTCATCGGTCCTCGGTACATGCTTATTAAATGATTCATTAGTGGCTCCTGGCCCCACCAGTTTTCTGGTCCCAGGTAAGATCGGATACTTTGTGAGTCCTTCGGCGAGGTGGAGGCAGGCATGGGGAGAAGGCAGAAATAGACGTGCCATCGACGTGCTCCTCCCTAATGCAGCCTCTGCTTGGGGGTCTGCTGAGGTGGGGCCACTGTTATCTGAGTTCTCACAGCTGATCTTTTCTTCCAGGCCTTGAAACATCCAATCTACTCTTTGTGTCTTTCTCTCCAGGAGGGAACTACACCTCTCTTTATTATCCACTGCTTTCCATGAGGAGCCCCCCCAAACAAGTGACACCGCCTCTCATTGATTCCATGGCTCTCTCCAGGAGGAGCTGGGTCACATGGGAACCACCAAGCCCCACTGCCACTGGGACCCCTACTCTTGCCCTACCTGTCCCACCAAATGCCGGATCTGAATCCCCAGGCTGCCTCCTGCCTTCGTTCCTTCACCCTCTCTCCTCCTTCTCTCTCTCTCCCAACTGTAGAGATGCCCCTGCCCATCGCTTTCCTTCCTAGGGACCTTCTTATCCTTCCTTCGATCTGATGTCCATGGGTCTGTCTTGGTGGAGTGGAGCACCTGAAACCCAGTTAGGTAGAGAATTCCCCCGTCTCTTCCCACATCGCTTCTGGGTCTTATTCGCATCCTGGGATGTGGCTGGGAAACCAGTTTACTATTCCCGACAATCAGGGAAGACTGTTCAGAATGGCCTGAATGCAGGGAAAGGGAACCCACATACACTCAGCCCTGTGTTACTGTAACTTACCACAGTAATGCAATAATTTTCAAACTTCGTCT